GGTGTATTGATGTAGAGGGACATTATGAGGGGGCATAGATGCCTTGTATGAGGAGAGGCCTATATAAGGAGCCATCTCCCTCACTTGTAACTCATTCCATCATTTTTTAGAGTAATACACACTAGAGAGTTCTCCCATCTTCTTTGTCTTTCTTGCTTTCCTTGCTTGTGAGTTTGAGAGAAGGCTGCCTAGCATCTCTAACGGATTTGAAATCTAGGACCACACGACCGTGAGTAAGGCTGTGACAGGTGAGTATCAGTGCCTAGTTTGGCTCGGTGCTAACAAGGAAGAAGCATAGCCAAACGAAGAGGAAGAGCCTCACAAAAAACGTCGAGATCATGTAGTGGTGTTACTGATGCTGAGAGGCAGCGTGGAAGAGATCCCAATTCCCAACAAGAACTCGAGTCCAAAAGGTACGTCAAGCACTCGTGATCCTGTTGCGGCTCTAGAGAAGCGCGTCTCTATAGTGGAAATGAAGGTGGCCAAAGATGTCACTGCAATCAAGGATTTGGGAGCCAACATTGCCCAAATCCAAGGCAATGTTCAAGGAGTTACTGCTCGATTGACAAGCTTGGAGATCGGCCATGATGGTTTGCGAGAAGAACTTGTGGCCCTCATCACCAACACCATCTCCGATCCATGAATAACGCGATCGAAGTTGTGAAAGAGCATGTCCAGGATGAGCTGGGTGGCGTGAAGGAGGAGATTGCAGACCTCAAGAGTGAGGTCACTCTCATGAAGAGAGACATGACTAGTGGACCAGCCACGGTGCAATCCGTCCCACGTGCTGACGTTCCAAGACCGAAGAATTTCAGAGGTTCAAGGAACGCAAGGGAGTTAGAGTTTTGAGTAGTACTTCAAGGCATCAGACATCCAAGAGGATGAGGTAAAACTTCGTATCGCTCCACTTTACTTTGTCGATATTGCAATGGTTTGGTGGAGGCGATGTGAAGCCAGTGGCGGATCTAGGGCTGAGCCACCCCGGTCCACGGCCCAGCCCTCCTCCGATTCAGAGCTAGTATAGCACGTATGAATTTTTCGATTTTAGGTGTTTGGCCCAATAATATTTAAAAATTCGGTCCAATGTTATTTGATAATATGATTTTGTATAACTTGAAATATGGTCTAGATGAATATATCCAAACCACTATTCTAAATTTAGACTAAAAATTCAAGCCCCAATAATTTTCCTTTGAAAAAAATAAAATAAACAATGAAACCTAAAAGTCTAACACATAAAAGACTAAAAGTGTAAAGTTTCATTGAAATAAAAAAGTATCTCAACTAAATCTCACACTTCTCTGTCAGAACTAAAAAAATTCCCTCCAAAATACAAAATTATGACGAGGAGACAAACAAACCCGAAACAAATTCAGTTGCTAGTTCGTCGGGTGCTGATCTCTTTCCATTTTTTTATGAAGAAAATATTTACAAACTTGTTGAGTCAAATTGATTCACTTGAGTGGTGCGCTAGATCCTAAAAGTTCTTTTCGGTCTTTTGAAGAAAAAAATATTTACAAATTTGCTCAAGAGTTTATCCTCGAGATTTTGAAGGCTATTAGATGCATTCCTTGAAGATTGATCTACGATAGTATGTCTCTCATGTGGATCATAGTAATGAATATGAAGTTTCTTCACTTGCAAAATTACTAGAAAAGCTAGTAGAAATAAAGATGGATACACAATACAAATTGATTTGTCGATTGATTCATCTAATGTTGACTGAGTTCGTTTCAACGACTACTACGGAGATAACATTTTCTTCAATAAAACATGTGAAAACTTATTTACGCAACAAAATGAGCGATGAATTTCTCGTTGATTGCTTAACTATTTTCTTTGAGATATAGTATGTTATTGGTATGGATGAAGACTCCATGATTTGATGGATTCGCTAAATTAAAAGACTGTCATGTGCAATTGACATTGTAATGAAAACTATAGTTATCATTTACTTTTTGTTTACGGTGTCTAATTTTCTATTCAAATGCGGCCCAATGCTCTACTATGTCCTGGATTCGCCGCTGCGTGAAGCAGACGTAGAAAGAGGTACATGTGTGATGGCAACATGAAATGATTTCAAGAGAGAAATCAAGAGGCAGTTCTATCCGGAGAACGTGAAATTTTAATTATGTCATTGTTCTTTTTTAATCCTAAACTATCCTCTCCCTTTTTTATGTCCCACTTTTTGCCATTCTTCGCCTTAGTTATGTCTAAAAGGCTCAACATGTCTTGAACGACATAGTTATACAAAAAATTTGTTTAATACTTGTATAATGTACATATACGCACTAAATCTATTTTAAAATTTTGTTCTCGTGTTAATGTTGAGTCGTCTAATCTTTATCATTTGTTTACTTTTTCTTGTATAAAATACATATAACACGTTTAACAAATACACTTTTAATATTTTTTAACTAATATAATCTCCTAACCATACTATTATATTAAAACAATGCATAAAACTTCGTACATCTTAGTACCTAAAATTAGGGCTGCAAATGAGCCGAGTCGAGTCGAGTTTTACCCCAGCTTGAGCTCGGCTCGTTAATAAACGAGTCGAGCTCGAGTTTAGCTCGTTTATTAACGAACCGAGTCGAGTCGACTTCGAGTTAGCTTGTTTATTAAAATCTTGACTTTTATTTGGTACTTTATTTTGTATATCATGATACATATGATTTATTTTGTTAGCTAATCTCATATTATACTTTGTTGGTATCATATATCATTTATTTAATAAATTTTAACTACTCCAAATCATGTTATTTCATAGTATCGAAGCAATCTATGATGCATAATTTCTTTTTAAAGTAGAAAATAAGATATATTTGCTCACATACTCAACGTGTTAAACTTTATATATGGTGAGATATACAATTTAACAACCATATGAATTAAAATCACAAGATATAGATTGATTCGTCCATAAGTTGGTAATCGAGTTGGATCTCTAGCCACATGTTAAGACATATCATGAGCTCTAAACAAGCCAGCTCACGAGTTTAACTCAACAAGCCACCGAGTCGAGCTAGCTCGTGAGCTTCACGAGCTGAACAAAAGTTAGCTTGTGTTCGGCTCATTTATTAACGAGCCAAGTTTCGAACGAACTTTTCTCGAATCGAACGTCGAGCCGCTCGCGAACAACTCGGCTCATTTGCAGCCCTACCTAAAATGAATGTTAACTACGCAATGCACACACTCTGACAAAGCAAGAGAGAAATGAGGTTAAGAAGGATACATTGGTAAAATAACAAAATTGAGTACCTATACCACATTAACAATACTAGTACTTATAAATAATTCATTCAGATATGATATTTGGTACAATAATTGGTATCAAATAACACATTTCACAAATACCACGGACAAAGAGGTTTCCTTCTCACGGAAATAGGAGTTGGTCTACTGGACCAGGCCGGCCAACAGGTGCAATAAATGGGCTTGCATGTACAAGCTGACAGGAGGTGTAGAGAGCTAGAAGCCAGCGTTGGGCCGAATACACAAGGCCTGTTGGGTGAGAGCTGGCCATTTATGAAGTATGAACTCTTGAGTACAGTAGAGAATTTGCATTTGGCATGTGTGTTTGCCCTTATTTTATCATGTTATGTGTTATACATTAAGTAAAGTTGGATATAATTGAATGTGGTATGGGTTTGACTTTTTGGCATGTGGTAGTATAAGTATCGTTTTATGGTGTAGGACTATGATAGAAACATATTGTTTCTATCATTCTTATAATTGTACAATGGAAATATGTTATTTTTATAGGGGGTTGGGTGGTATAGGTTATTACTAGGTTACCAATTACCACATGCACATCATCTTGCCAGTTTCACTGGCCACCATGGTGGCTGCTAACCTCTTGAGCCATGGTTTGTTCACTCATCTTTTGAGTTTTGACCACCGCAAGGCGACCATTGAACTAAGTTGATTGTGAGAATGATCATCAAGAAGAAAATTTTAGTTCTTTGTGAATAACGCATTATCTATTTCAACAACATACTATTCATAATTGATCTCATGATGTGTTACGAATTGGCAATGTGACGTCTATGTAGTGATGACAATTTGAACCCGCCCTTATCTGACCCTTAGTAGCGTGAGGCAGGGCATGGGTATATACTTCTAATCCTCCTTGTCTCGCCCCGTTCTTGGCTCATTTTGCCTAAAACACTTACAATATCTATATATTTATCATATTTTGACCCTTTTTTTTTTTTACTATTTTTCTTTCACAATGCGTTTTTCCTTTCGTTTTATTGTAAAAAGTAAAATTTTGCTTGTATTTTTTCCAAATAACTTGTAAGAGTGGATCGATCCGCCCACCCCGTACCCATGTGGGTATTACTCGCCCCGACCGCAATAGCGTAGGACGGGACATGTATATTGATGTACCCCACCCACCCCGCCACATTGCCATCACTACGTTTATAACTTGAGTAAAGATGAGTAATTGACTTACACTGAAGTCACCTCTCATTTCCCTCTTCCGCTTTAAAACAAGGTAATAATTCTAAAAGTTTCTCTCATTAAGGACTATTGTAAGAGAAATATAACATATAATTTCTTCATGAAATTATGCATTCAAACCTACTCATATGGACACTTGAACCTTTAGTATTAGTTCCACATCCACCATACAAGATTTAAAATATTCCAAAGGGGGGAAAAAATAATAATAAAAACATAAAACTCTACATAGACTCCGAGACTTCTACCCAACGAGGCCAACCTCCATCCACTCTTATCTTACAGTTTCAGCTGTTAAACCACTTTTCCTGGAAAAGCATAATCAAACCATGAACCATTGTCCAAAGTACAAACCACATACAACGACGACAAATAATCGTACCAATGCTAACAATAACGCAGATACCAAAATATGCAGAGCAGAAGTGGAAGAACATTAGAACAAGTTACAACCTTCCCCTTCTTCGTCCGCAAAAACCAGAGAGACATTTTGAAAAAAAAGCAAACAAGGCTTATGGATATATGATTATCTAAGCCCTAAGCAAGTAGAGACTGAGCTCAGGGCCACCAGAACCATCCTCAGGATTCATCATGTAGAACGCTTCCGAATCCTTCGAACCCACCACTCTCTCAAACCTCGCCCTCATGTACATCAGCTCCCCTTCCCCTCCGCCCTCTTCCTTTTCCACCTCCCCCGCCGTCGTCGCCGCCGGCAGAACTCCGGCACCCATCGTGATCGGCGCCACCGCCTGCAGCACCTTCCATTCCGCCTCCCCACACTCCCTTCTCAACGCGTACCCGCACTTCTTCCCATTACAGTAACTCCTCCACACCCCTTCTTCCAGCAGCTTAACCCCTTGCTTCTTCTTCTTCTTCTCCGTCGAAGTCGGCGAGGACTTCTTCTCGCACTCCAGCGCAATCCTCACAAGCCCAGACGCCATCTCCCTCACCAGCACGCTCGTCGGAGTCGCCATCTCGATCAAGAACGCCGGCCTCTGCTTCGGGTCCTCCTGGAACGCGAAGTGGACGTGTCCCCGCCGGTAGCCGAAAAGGGTCCCGACTACTTTGGTTCCCAGCCTCGAACTCCGATCGCAATTTTTACTTCCTCCTCCCCTGCTGAAAACCGTGAGCGCCGACCGGAGCTTGCTGGAAAGATTGTGTTTTTTCTTCGGGAGTTGGGGGAGCTGTTGTGGGTCTTGAATTGAAGAGTGGAGATCGTCGTCGGAAGAGTAGTGGCGAGAGGAGGAGTGGTGGGTAGCGAGGATTTCCTCGTGGTCGGTGTTGTCTTCAAGGTGTTCGACGAATTGCCTCTTCCAGTTGAAGTAGCGCCTGGAGAAGGAGAAAGAGGTGTCGTGGCGGGTCTTCGCCGTCATGATCGTGTTGCTCATGATGGGCTTGGGGAGAAGAGTGTAAAATATAAGACTAGGGGGGAGAAGTTGACAAATTTGTGGGAAGGGGTTTGGTTTGAATTTGGAGAAGTGTGGGTTTGAAGCTGGAGAGGAACAGAGTGAGATATAAAAGAGAGGTTTTGGCAAGGATTCGTTTGTGCTTATTAGGTGAGGATTTGGAAGCTTATATTGGCGTGGATTGTGGCAATGTGATATCTTACTTTAATGAAAAAAAGATTGGTACAGTTAGAGCTTTCACTGTCTCGCTCTCTGCTTTTGTGGGTGTGAAGTAGAGGAAACAAAAAACAGGGGAGGTGGCCTGAGATTGGGAAATAGCGACGGGAGGAGAAGAGAGAAACCTGACAAAAGGAAGGTGAACAGCCCCACCTAATTCACAGGAAAGTAGAGGCAAGTTTTCTGAAGAAGCAGATAGGGGAATGAGAAAATGGAGACAAGGAAGAGGAGAACAGGGGAGTGGTGGCGAGGAAGTCAAGAGAAGGTCAGAGAATAGTGGAATCTATGGAGACAATTAGAAACAGGAGAACTTTTTTGCTTTTGTGGTTATTTTGCGTTCAAAGTGAGTAGTGGGTACTGTATGTTAGTCACTAAACCGGTTTCTGGGAAAATAAAGGGTGCTGATAAGATACTATTTTAAGTTAAAAGTCAAATGTATTGGTTGTAAAGAAGAATAAATGGGTGCGAGGAGAAACCAAAGCTAGATCTCAAAATCTTTCTTGTAATTCATTCACAAATAAGTACCTGTGTCAATGGTTAATTATGGTTTGCTCATTTTTTTAGGCGAAAAAACGCCAAGCAAGAGAGGTTACAGGGAGATTAGGAGGGAGAGGGTGAGGATAGCGTGGCGGGAAAAATCCACCGCTCAAATCAAACCCATATAATGTCATCCTGAAGAATGGAAACTAGCCCTGGTGGTGGATTTGCAAGCTCATGCATACCGTAGAGATAGACGAGACTGCGCTTCGAGAGCCAGTACACGGTTCTATTCCCTTCCCGGTATGTATGGGAGATGCTCACCAGCCAGTCAATGCTTAGTTTCCTCCGAATGGCCGAAAGAAGAGTAGAGTAGGGGAGGACACTGGACAGGATTGTGTCTCTTCTCTAGAAGTTGGATGGCGAGTTGAGAGTCCGACTTCATATTGACAGCTCGACAGCCCTCCTTCCAAGCTAACTCGAGCCCATAAAAAATTGCCCATAGCTCGGCGACAGCCGCAGTCGTCGACCTAATACCGGCGGTGAAGCCGGTGATCCACTTCCCCGTCGTGTCTCGAAGAAGTCCCCCAGCTCTGGCTGGTCCTGGGTCCCCACACGAGACTCCATCAATGCTCAGAGCTATCCATCCTTTCGGGGGATGTTTCCAGCTAGGGCTGCAAATGAGCCAAGCCGCTCGCGAGCAACTCGGCGTTCGAATCGGAAAAAACTCGTTCGACAGTTGACTCGTTATTTAACAAGCTGGCTCGCGAGCCAACTCATTAGTTAACAAGCCAAGCTTGAGCTAGACCATGCTAAGCTTGATAAGCTCGCGAGCTAGCTTGATTCAGTGGCTTGTTGAGCTAAGCTCGCGAGCTGCCTTGTTTAGAGCTTGTGAAAGGATGAATTACTCTTTTAAACATGAACATTGTCTTGTTAATACAAATGCGTATGAAATTTAGATGTTATTTATAGTTTCTAGTGTTCTTTCTATCATTTAAATTCTTATGTTTACACATTTTTCCATCAAAAATGATTTTAAATCGAGCTCATCTTGAGCCGAGCTTGTACTCAGCTTGACAAACTATGTTTATTTGCATTTATCGAGCTCTACCGAGTCGAGCTCGAGCTAGATGATTCTTATTCAAGCCGAGCTCGAGCTCGAGCTTGATTATCAAAATTCGAGTCCGAGCCGAACTCGAGCTAAAAAATTAATAAACGAGCCGAGTTCAAGCTAAGCGAAAACTCGACTCGGCTCGTTTGCAGCCCTATTTTCAGCCAATGGTTTACTCATACATGTCGATAAACTGTATTGAGTATTTGAGTAGTATTTTATTAATTAATTAAATATATTATCAACTTAATATCTGACATGAAAAGACTTGTATACCATACTTAATCAATATGGGATCGAGTGGTTGTCTACATTTGAATATCGTATTATTATTCGAGATGTAATGCGTTGAGTTGGGCCACTAGCCCTAAATTCGTACCCTATTTGTGGACTAAGTCCGCACAAATTACCTAATAAAACTTCGTCGGATATTGGAAGGGTGTATCCATACCATGACCAATGAGGGTGTGTGATCTATGGGTGCTCATATTTTTATACTATCAAAGTTATTTCTACAATGCTACGACTACACTACTATAAGACTATAACAACACCAAGGTTATCAAAATGTGAGTTAATGTCATTTACAAAGAAAGATTTCAAAACTAACATTAAAAGGTTATCATGAAATAGAGGATAAATGAGTGTCGAGACATAAGTATTAGGGTTAAAAAAAAGTCATAAGAAAATATTAAAAGTATAACGGCTGAAAACAACTGGCACTGTGCGTCTAGACTACTTTACACTGCTCATTTAGACCTAATTTTCCTGTTCACTTGGTTCCGATTGGTTGTTGCTCTGGCTGTTCAGTGGATTCTGACATGGATGGTCAGTTCACTTTGAGCTATTGATGCGATGTCCAGTTGCTTTCTTATAGTTTCGTTGCTTTTGTTTGGTGTGATCATAGTGATCTTTGCGTTGGTCACAGTGTGTCTTTGAGTTTCTTGGTCAGACCGGATTTTGCTGCAGAGATCGGGAGAAGAAGGGAGGGTTGCTGATGGAGACAAGTCATTGGCTTATTCCTTTCACTGCAGAGACGTTGGGAGTCGGGAGAGGAACGAAAGGTTGCTGGAGACTGAATATATCTATTTTTTGTTTTCAATTCTTTTGCCTTCTCGGTTTTTGAGGGGCTCTTGGGAGTTGGGATACTGTGCATTCGGACTCCTCACAGAATGGGGGAAGGTAACTATAGCTAAACCTTTCCTTCTCGGTTTTTATTGTCCCCGGTTAAGCCATAGAGCAGTCTTGAGAGGAAAAACAGAAAAGGTGGAGTGGAACTGAGATATTTTTTATTGTTTGGTGGATTTTAGAGCCACGTAGAGCTATTAGATATTTGATTTTGGGCCACTTATTTTACCTACCCGTAAGTGGCTTTTTCTCCCCTGTGTGACTCTCACTCTCTCCACAACAACCAGCACTGCTAAAGCTCTCTTTCATATTTCTCTTCTTCTCTCTCCCTCTTTTCTCTCAACACCGTCGAGTCGATGCGGCCAGACACCAGATCCCCACTGAGCATCTCCGGTGGTGATGAATCGTAAGAATCCCGATAAACACATGTATTTCTATCAGTTGAAGGGATGCAATGAGGAGCCGGGGACGACATAGCTAAGTTGAAAAGGCGTCATATTGTTGTTCGAGTACCCCGAATGTTTTCTCAATCTCTAATGTTGAGGTCCAGAGATGATTGCAAGGAGATCCAGGTCCGCAGGTATTTTTCTTTCTGCCTTTGATGTGTTCTTTTGCTCTCTTTTGGAATGAGTTCGTTCTCTCTTTCTTCCTCCGAAGGGTTTGTTTGATAGCTCTTCAGAGGAGATGCCTTCAACGAGTTCTAACTATAAGCCAGTAAGACCAGGTGATTGCCAGGATGAGAACCCATGATCCGCTACAAGGCTTTTAGGCCGTTCGTTAAGATAGTCTCACTGGAGCGCATCGATCAACGTCAGCTCCTTTTTGTTGCCGATCAGGATCACACTTGCTTTGCTGAAGGGAGAAGGTAGCTCCATTTTATCACTTTTTTCTTAATCCCACCTCTCTACGTTGATTTCACTCATCTCTTTACTGAAAGAGCCTATCCTCTGTTTTTTTTATTCAGATGGGCTGAAGTTTTAAGCGAGGGCTTGGATGTGCACCAGATTCTCAAATAGAGTCGAAAATAAAGAAATGGCCAATGTCAAGAGGTTTTTGGCACATTCATGTATATATTCATACCCTGGAGCTAAACAATAAACTCTTGGTCCTTTTTTCTTTCTCTTGGTTTTCTTTTGAGTCACTTAGTTGGGAGCTCTAAATGTGGTCTTGAGAAGAACCAGATTTGTAGGTTTTGTTTTGGGTTCACAAAATTGTTCACCCTTTCTCTGTTTGATGAATTGGTCCTCCCCTTCTTACCGTTAAGTTTTTATTTTCTTCTTTCGAGTTCTCTTTCTTATAGATCTTGATTGGTTTGCAGTTTGCGCTTAAATTGGTTTATGGTCATATTAATTGCGGTTTGACCTGCGGTTGGGAGAAGATAAATAGTGTCTTCTACCAAAAAAAAAAGGGAAGATAAATAGTGTCGTTGGTGTAAGCTAACGGAAGTCCCAAGGTTACCAGGAGCCTAATGGGTTAGATTTCTTTCGTTTTGCTTCACCTTCTATTATCCCACTATGTAGAGTTCTGCTTTCCTCCCAATCCCATTGAAAGGGACGTGGGACCTCGCCAGTGGTCTTTCTATTTGGGAGTCGATGTAAATGGTCTGTCCCTGAAATTCTCTCATCTTCCTTCCGATAGTTAAACTTTGCTTTTGTGATGTTTTCGTGGAATCTCTCTACTCCTCTTCGTATAGGCAGGCGATTATTGTTTATTCTCTATGCAATGACATAGGAGCCGAAGCCAGCTGCTATTCCTGGAAATATTTTTGGTTGGTTGTCAAGTTGTGAACGTTCTTTCCCAAGCTATATGCTTTTATTCCTGATGTGTCCAAACATAATCAGTAATTGGATGCCTTTATTTGAGAACTATGAACCTATTGATTGAAGTTTATGTAAATATATGATATGTATATATTTGTTACACTGTGCTGGTGGTTGTGAGTATTCTTATGAGCATGTGTGGTTAAAGATTATGTCGATTGTCTGTTTCTTATATGTAGATTATCTATTTAATGTTGTATATATTATTTTGTGGA